CCAGAAGTCTGAGTAGTGATCACAAACGTATCAAGCTAAGTTTTGGAAGAGCAGTGAAAGCGGGAAGGAGACAAGATTATCAACTACAGGAAAATGTTTATTCAGAAAGGCCAATTGAAATAGCCACTAAATAAATTGAGAAAGTAATCACGGAGGATAATAAGACAGTATGGACATACACAAATCTATTTAGACTCTTTGAGCTAGAGCTTGCTAAGACGCGTAACAAGTCACCCCGGAAGAGAAGACACAAACCCAAAAGTTGGTGGGATGAGGAAGTTAAGAGAGCCATAGCAAAACGTCAGGAAGCCTCTAGGGAACACAGACATGCTAAGCAGCGGGGTGAAGCGACAGATGATGTTAAAAGAAAATGGGAAACCTTTCTAAGCTGTAGAAGGGATGCATCCCTTCTGATCAATGAAAAGATTAGAAGAAAGGGAGCTCAGTGGCTGGCAGAAGTACAATAAAGATAGAAAGGCAGTTGCGAAATTTCGGAACCATCTAAACTCCCTAAGAAATGCGACGAGCCTAGAGCAGAGGTTTATAACTACAGCCCAAGGTGCTAGGCTAGAACGGGACGAAGCTATTGAATATATAAGAACAAGGGTGACAGAAAAATTTCAACAAAGAAGTGCTTTATGCACCACAATAGAAAAGGATGAATCAAGTGGCGCAATGGCTCCATTTTCACAACGAGAGTGGGAAACGGCTCAGAAAAGGGTTCCTAGTAGTACATCAACAGGCCCAGATGGCATTCCAATTATGCTGATAAAGACATTAGGTCCGAAGTCTAAGCAGGCTTTGAGAGAGGCAGTGAGCAAACTAATGATCAATGGTGAAGTTCCCGATGGAAGGAAACTTAGCAGGATGAGCATGATCTATAAAGGAAAGGGGACAAAGCTGACAAACAACTACCGTCCTATAACAGTGACATCAGTGGTCTACAGGCTGGCGATGCAGATTATGAAGAAAAGACTGCAGGCATGGATAGAGGATGAGGGCGTGCAGGGAAAACTGCAGAATGGGTTTCGGAAACACAGGAGGTTGGAGGACAACCTGTTCTCACTGACGCAGTGCATCGAAATATCAGAAAAGAAGCACAGACCCCTGTGGCTAGCATTTTTGGATATCAAGGGAGCGTACGATAGCGTGGTTCAAGAGAAATTGTGGGGAATACTGGACACACTAGGCGTGGAACATGTAGTCACTAATCTTTTAAAGGATATCTATAAAGGTAACAAGGTAGTTATAAAGTGGGAAAAACAGGTATCCAAGCCTGCAGAGGTCAAACAGGGGCTTAGGCAGGGGTGTCTCCTGTCACCCTTATTATTCATGATGTACCTACAAGGATTAGAGGCCAAATTAGAGGGAAGTGGACTGGGCTTCAACCTTTCCTTCGTCAAACAAGGAAAACTCATTGAACAGGCACTACCAGCATTGATGTACGCAGATGATATAGTGCTAATGGCCGACAACAAGGAAGATTTGCAGAGATTGGTGGATATCTGCGGTAATGAGGGAGATAGGTTAGATTTCAGATTCAGTTAGGAAAAATCAGCCGTCATGATTTTTAATGACAATGCTGGTAGTGAGCATAGAATACAGGAGGTCACGCTAGAGATAACAGATAAATACAAATATCTGGTCGTATGGATAAGCAATGCGGCCGAGTACCTAAGGGAACACGAAAGATACGTGACGTCTAAAGGTAACAGGAATGCAGCGGTAATGAAAAACAAGACACTGTGAAATTACAATAGGTATGATGTCAGAGGAATATGGAAAGGGGTCATGATTCCTGGTCTGACGTTCGGCAATGTGGTCTTGTACATGAGATCAGAAGTTCAAGCAAGATTAGAAATTAAGCAACGTGGATTAGGTAAGCTTGCCTTAGGAGCTCACGGGAATACACTAAATCAGGGAGAACAAGGTGATGTGGGATGTACATCATTTGAGGGCAGGGAAGCTAGCAGCAAGATAAAGTTTGAGAAGCGATTGAGGGAAATGGGGGAGGAGCGTTGGGCTAGGAAGGTATTCAGCTATTTGTACATGAAGAATATCGACACAAAATGGAGGAAGCGAACCAGAAAACTGACTGGTAAATACTTGGAAAACAGCAGGGGGCCAAACCAAACAGAATTATAGGTTAAGAAGAAGGTGAAGGAAGCTGAGAGCGATATGTGGAGAATTGGCATGATCAAGAAGTCCGCACCAGAGGTCTGTCGAACTTTTAAGCAGGAAATTGCCAAGGAAAGGATCTATGATAATACTCGGGGTAGTTCTCTACTTTTTGAGGCCAGGACGGGAGTATTGCGAACCAAGACATATCGGGCCAAATACGAAGGGGTAGACATGGCATGCAGTGCGTGTGGAGAGGAAGATGAAACTGCCGAACACTTCATAATGTTCTGTAAAGGGCTTCACCCTATAGTTCAGGATGACGGCGCAGAGTTTTTCAAAGCGGTTGGGTTTAGGGACAGGGAGGGCAAAATTGACTTTAAGCGTGTAGAATTAACTAGAAGGAGGTTATATGATTGGTGGCTAAAGTCAAGGCACGAGTGAAAATTAAACGCTTCACTGCAAAGTACGAATCCTCAACCTGGCGTTTTAAAAGGGGAAAAAATAAATCTACTTCTTGGTTCATTAAGTATTGTGGCTTGGTGGCACTAGCCACCACCCGATCTAAAGGGTACAGCCATATCCATCCATCCATCCATGGCTGTCGTTTGGGGGACCGCGCAGCCAGCGTGCCCATCACTTCAACCTGTGTAATATTTTCGGCTGCAGCCAGCGTGTTGTCAAGGCTTTGCTGAGAACATTGACTCTAACATGTATTATATCCCACACTGCGTGTTGATAAATACGGGTGTGGCGTACATTGAAGGAAAAAAAGTTTTGAACGCCGGACACATCGTCTGCTGCGGTGTACAGCTTTGTCACCGCTGCTCATGCCACGGCTGGGGAAGACCGAGTGGCCATGCTCGTGCAAAGCAGAAAAACCTCGCCTTTGACTTCACGCCGTCTGCACAGCGGCATCCAACATTGTTTGGGATTCTTCTAGCTCAGTAAGCAAACAATAAAGAATAAATAATTGCAACTACGACTCGCAGTACCTGTTTGACTTCTCAATAACCATAGTAGAAATTGCCTGTCACAAAATATTGCCACGTGCATAGCTGCATTTAGCGGCGAGATAGCGACGACAACGAAGAACGCGGATTTGCTCGAGAGGCGCAGCGCAGGCGAGTGAAGAAGACGACAATCTTAGCGGCCTTCTCTGAGAGCGTCTCTACAAGTTACAGTGTCCGTGTCTTTAAATAAACCCCCTGTAATTTATAACCCACGATACTGGTGGAGGAGCTGGGTACTACCACCTCATGATCAGTACCCCTGTGAGAAGCCCGGAGTCCAGCCCTACGAGACAGCCATGCGTGGAGACGCCTGTGCACCGCTCAAGCCGTCGCTTTCAAGGTCTTGAACCAAAATCTGGCATTTTAGAAGGAGCAACACTTCCGAGAGCCACCCCTACTCATGAAATGGCATTTTCAAGGAGTCCTGCACAGGTTACGGTACAGAATATTCGCATTCCTGAACCATTGACAAAGATAAATATTGAAGGGTTACGCCTACAAAGAAGTTCCCTCTGCCACTTCTTTCACAGCCTGAACACAAATTTTGTGGCACCCCCCTGTACCCATCCTAATTTACACCACTGCTCCAAGTGTGCAACAGGCTTCCGCCTTTATAGGGTGGAGAAAGTGCAACATGGTGCCAATATTTTTTATTAAATAATGCAAAGAATCAGAAGGGATTCATAAAGGTAACGCCAATTTTGCTAGGCACAGACTAATGAAACCTACAAACAATAAAGCTAAGGATATGAAAAGTACTTGTATGCTCTAACTGTAGCGTAGTAATACACCAGAGAAAAGTCCAGCCAATAAAATAACGAACAAAAAAAAAACGAAGAAGGAGGGAGGACAGCGGCTAGACTACCAACTGTCTATTCACGTACGCGTGGCTCAAGTATTTGTACTCATGCGGTCACGCAGTCATCCTACAAGCTCTTAGTGAAAATGGCTAAATAAAATAAGCTGACGCATAATCACTGTACGAATTCTTCACCCTACTAATCACTCAATAATACAGAAACGTTTTCAGGAGAGTTTTTTCCTTCATACGCCACGCCACGGAGCTATCGCTACAACATGACTCGCCGTTCTTTGCAACGTGAAAATATTAAAGTATTCCACGTGCCATTTTCTGATGGCTTCTGCCAAAAATCCTGATTTTGCTCAGCACTGGCCTACATTAGCACTGTTTACAACGAAGAGCTAAATTGAGCCTGTTCCTTTATATAACAATTTGAAATGTCCCCAGGCACTATTATTCACCCAACGACCTGTTTGGTTTATGTACACCATTTTGCAAGTCAGTCGAATTTCACCACGCCACAACACATTTCAAAAACGCCAGTCTATGCTTTGCTTTACACTGTGGTTTCTTTCTCCCGATGCGTGCGCGTATACCACCCAGTTTTCTTGGTGCTGAAAACGCCACGGACCTGACGGGAACATTTTTCAGGCCATGAGCAACATGGTGCGTGCAGGGCAGCACTTGTGGCCTCCTCTACTCTGGGCACGTCTCTGTGTTTTTTTCTTTCTTCCTTTCACTTTTTTTGTAGCGATGATCCAGCAGACAAAACGAATCTGGGAAAGCCGGCGTTTTTCTAGCCACTGTCCTGTCTCCTTCTTCGTTTCCTGTGTTCATTATTTTATTGGCTGGATTTCTTTCTGATGCAATGCGCCAGAAACTAGTGCAGCAGCGATTGTGTTGTAGTAATATGGTTAACTTGCCGCCAGAACCACACCAACAACCTTGAGATAAAGCGTAAGCTATTATATAGCGTATGCAACGCTTGGCTAACAACGTACGCATAAACACTTTTGTAATTTGATTTTGCAGCTGACATCCGTGTACCCACCCATTCTGCCTTGCAGATTCCGGAGCTGCTTGAAAATGGCCAACCACGGGGCTTCGTATATGGTGGGCAAGCTGTACTTCAACGTGGTACAGACCAAGTGCTTCATCTTCAAGTACCGAGAAGTCTGCGAACTTCGCTCCTGGTGGGGGCAGTGCCTGCAGCGAGAGAAGAAGAAAGTCGCCGTGCTTAGGAGCGGAATGACCTACTAAGAGGCGCAGCGGTTGTACTCGTATCCGTAAAAGAACACAGTAGCAATTAACGCCAATTACGCCAGGCTAACTTAGGCTTCTCACTAGAAAATTTCATAAAATGAGCAGCTGACTGCGCATAAACATGCCCAATCCCCCCACCCACAGCGAAAAAAGAAAGTATACCTGGGCGATATCACCAATCTGCATATCATTTAAACGAATGTGCTCATACTGCAAGATAAAGCGACGGTGCCCAGCCTTTTCCAAATTTCAGGTGCTGCTGTGTGGGTTCAATAACATGTGACTGAGCCAGGACAGTTTAGGATAGTATTTACTGTGGACTGTATGTAGGACTATATACGACATGAAAGTCGAAGCATCATGTAAAAACATCTACCGAACTGCATGGCCACGTGCGAACCAGAGCACCTTGAGTTTTGTATCACAGTACGCAAATAAATAAAGTTAGCAATTCGCGGAAAAACTGTCATTATTACATATGGTCGCCCGCATGTTGGGAGCTCGTGGACGCGGCGTGAAACACCGGTGAGCTACGTGGAGCTTTCTATGCTATTCAAGATCCACGTTATTGATTCAATTATTGGAGCTATATTGTTTGCATCAACACGCTCTTCTTCTGTGACTTTTAACTAATCGTACCAAAAATATTAATTTTTAGGCAAGGACATTTTCAAGGGGTGATAACGCTTCAGCCAGCGGCAGCATTTCAGTGCAGCTAATCTCACCCATATGGGGCAAAAAGGTTGGAGCTCACTCATACTCACCAAACACTTTCTGAATCGTACTCACGTGGACTCAAACTCAATAAAGTTTTGCTCAACCGGGCTCACTTGGACTGAAACTCACCAATATGTTAGTCAACCGAACTGACTGTGACTCAGACACATGGCTTTACTTCAGTCTGAGTGAGCCTTAGGGAGTCGACTCATGAGTCCGTTATGGTGCATTCAGACGACGGACCGAATCCAGATTTGTCGTGGACGCGGACGGCTAATCCGTGGATGATCCGCCTGCAGGCGCATCCACACGACGGATGATGTCCTAGGAGAAACCAGCCGGATTACCCTCGACAGCAGGTTCGCCACTCACCTGCGCCCGCTGAAAGCAGGCCGGTTTGAGAGTATTCAACATGGATGCCCGCAAGAAGCGACTCTTGACTGCGATGACTGTCGCGTTGTGACAAATGAACGAGGAGTGTTATGCTGTCAGGAGAAAATGGAGTTGCTGGCAGAATGTTCTTTCAACTACACTGTTACCTACTTGTAGAACTTCTGAACGCGTCTCCCATCCTTTTTTAGAAGCGGCACGTCGCCGGTTGCAGAAGTTAGAATATTTCACCATCATGACGGCTAAGAATCTCGCATGTCAAACGACGGCGGCGACATTTCCCGAACCACCAAAAGTGATTTCTCCTTATTTAATCACCTGAGAACAAAGCCCCCGGAAACTAAGTAAATCATGCTCAAGCGTAGATGATGCCGACCAGTCATGCAGCTAGCTGTCCGCGAGCCATGGAGGACATGCCGCGAGCAGACGAAAAGTGTACTGGTTGCCAGAAACCCCGAGCTAATTCACTGAAGTATCGGCTTTCTCCCGCCAGAATCCCGATGTGAGAAACAGGTTGGGTTCATTCGTCCGCGAGCCGCGCGGACGAGTCGCGGACGAGGGAAATCGCTGATGTGAGGTCACGTGACGCGCCGTCCGTCCCGCCACATCCGTATTCGGTCCGTCGTCTGAATGCACCATTAGCGTAAAACTACCCTCTTGGGATCTTGAGTTCATTGTCCGGTAGTGTGGAAATCCCACATACGCCTTTTGATCTTATGCCTTCAAGTACGAGTTATCAGTAATCCAGTGGGGCTAGTTCTACGAAATGTAAGACGCACACGAGATATTTCACCAGGAACTTTCCGTGGAAGAGATTACGGGCAGAGGTCATGGCCCAACTCCCGTATCTGACTAGCAGATATTGAGGTGACGCATGAACGTGAGCACCTGGAGGTATGTGTGTTTGAACTTCAGTATTAGAATAAATTGATATGTGGAAGATTAGTAGATAGGACCATTGGTCGGCAGTAAAAGGTGGAGCTTACTCAGGCTCACTCAAGTCATATGTTTTGCGCTTAGGGCTCACGCGGGCTCATACTCGACATTACTGAGCTCAAACGGACTTAGCCAGGCTTATACACCTGTCGCATGGCAAATATAATGTCATATACAACAAGTGACATTAAGCGGACTTAATTTCATTTATCTGCGTGCTGCCACACGATGAAAACAAATGTAATTTTGAAGGGATGACTACGACCTTAGCCTTCCTGAGCCATGGATTTTTGGAGAAATAAGAATATACCAAAGCTTGCATGTAACATGCGCGTATCCAAAAAAATATTTTTTTTATGAGTAAACAGGTGCTCCTATATTAGAAACGTAGCCGTTTTACAATACTTGCCACAGCTGACTTCCCAGCCGGAAAAATGAGACGGCAGCCGTGATATTGTGTAAGGACCACCTTGTTCACCGCAACACGTGCAATTGGACGATCAAAATCCGCAATATGGGCAACAACGACACAGAGCAAAAATCAAACGTGGTCGGCATCCAGCCGCTGTAGTAGAGAATAGCTTTTCTTCACGAACTTTCGTGTATGCTGTTATGTCATCAAACGAGTAATATATAGATCTAGTAAAAAATCAGATATCTAACAATGATAAAGATTATTTTTACATAAGTTGACAGTCATCTTCCTGAAATTTCCTGGCGTCAAGACTACTCATTCCGTCTGAAATAAATACGAATGTGTTTTGGGAGCTCATTCGACAGAAAATGTCACTTTCGTCAAATTCCATTATTTCCCCGTGTGACAGCAAACAAATGACTTTACAAATGAATGGCATTCGCTGTAAATGACCGTATATCTGCCGTGTGACCGGGGTAGAATATCTTGAACTGGGTTCACTCATGCTCACACTCGCGGGCCTATTTGAGTTGAGTGAGCTTGAGTGAGTCAACTCATGAGGGAGCTTGCGCACCTATGACAATAATCATGAGTCACGAAAAATTTGAGATAGCCGATGAGCGTTATAAGAAGGCTATAGAAAGAAATCAACATATATAGAAGACAGGCTGTTGTGAAAAAACTAACTTTAGATGAGATATGCCTACTCATGTACATAAAGGTATTAAAGACGACACAGAAGAATAGTAAACAAACATGAGCAGATGAAGAGCATCGCAAGGAGCAGACGAGCATATCGGTTCAGACCTCTTTGGATACTATGTCCATTTTTCCCTTTAGATTTCATTTCTTTTGCTTAGCTATGGAGTGTGTGCTTGTTCGCCATTCACAACATTCTTCATGGTGCAACTATAACGATTGTTATAGCGAGAGAACAGAACGACGACACAGAGACAAGAAGGACACGAAGGACACGAGCGCTTGTGTCCTTCGTGTCCTTCTTGTCTCTGTGTCGTCGGTCTGTTCTCGCGCTGTAACTATCGTCATGTCATACCGATTATCCAAGCTGCCCCACTTTTAAGGTGGAACGATGTATCATTCATATGTAATAGAGAGTAACTAAAAAATACTGCAATAAAGCACGGTAGGGAGATTTGTATAAGAGCGCTACGTAATGTATGACATTAAATAACATGAACAGTTTAGCGTGGGAGAACTAGGAAAGGGTTATGAAAGACGCCGTAGAAGTCTTAGGAAATTTCGACTAGTTGGAATCTAAATCGAAGCACACGGTTCTGAGGTATTGTCGCTTCCATCGAAAATGCTGCTGCAGCGGTCGGGATCAGATCCCGCTATCTTCGAGTCAGCAATTTGGAACCATAACAACCAGACCAATATGGCGAGTGAATAAGACATATCGACATATATGAATTAGACATATAGATATATATGAAGCTGCAAACAGAAAAATTAAATTTGATATGGGGTTTTCAGCTTGTGAGTAGTTACGATTGCGAATATAGAGGGTAGAGGTATTTATTTATTTATTTATCTATTTATTTACTGTATTTTATTGAAACGTCTCAAAGGTTCCCGAGGGAAGAGCTTTCATATTAGGGGTGGGCATATCTAGAAACGCAACTTCTATAAGGCAGGGCTGGGCAGAGATACTTGGAAATCTGTTCCAGAATGCGCACAGCGAAATACACACCCACAAAGAACGCATCATATTTAATTATACAGGTTTCCATTCAAAGCGTCCCCAAGTCTCAATGTCGCATTGATTCCGTCATTGAGCTCTTGGTGTTTGTGGTTCACGGAGTTATTGTGAGGTAATCGCATGTATAGAACCACATGCAGGCAAGACCAAGAACGAGTGTGACCTCCAAGATCCTCGCGCAAATAACCACCATGGAATACGCGTGAGGAGATATTGATTACACCTTGCCAACATAGATGGCGCTGTATGACCACTGAGCCATGCGTTGCTACTGGCAACCGATGCTTCGCGAGCCATAACAAATAAATGCGGAATATTGAGTGTGAGTGTCCACAACAAGAATTAGAGTTTTTGAAGAGTGTAGCGCAAGCATGAATAAACCAATGAATGTCTCACAAAAAAGAAAACGTGTTTCGGCAGCCACGTAGAAAAGTGTCAACATACGCAATACCAGCTGGCGTCATCCCATAGTAGATGAAAGCATGACCGACAACATAGAGAACAGGTAAGTGACGAACCACCGGTCTGCCACGTCATGCGATTCGTACTAGATCGTTAAACTCTTCCGTCTCTACTTTCGGGTGCCTAATAAAAAAATACGCGCTATTATCGTATAACTTAGAGCGAAGGCTGTTTTAAACGTTCCTATACGCAGAACAGTATCTCTGATCTTGATATATAAAAGTACACAAATAAACATGCACCAGCTGACAGCTTCTGCATTTAGCATGCACTTGCTTAAAGTGATGTCATTGAAATATGTGACAGGCATTTGAACAACTTAATATTCCATTTATATTCCATTCATCTGCGTTATTATAACTCCATTCATCGCGCAGATGGAGCTCCTGCCGGAATCCCACTGGCAATCAACAGAAACTTACCACGACTTTATGCCCATTAAGTTAAAAAGCTTTTTCTGCTTCACGCCCTTTTTTCCCTCTCTTCCCTCTTTCTCGTCTTTCTTGTCCCCTTCCTTAATCCCCCAGTGTAGGGTAGCCAACCGGATGTCTTTCTGGTTAACCTCCCTGCCTTCTCCCTTTTTGTTGCTTCCTCCCCTTCTGCTTCACGCCAAAATGACTTTTAAAATGAAGCACAGTAGTCGACGACTTGAGCCATATTCTTACTTGGCTCGCAACGCCGTAAAAATAAAGTTGCGCGACGGAATGAAGCAGTATTTTTGCCAACTTTTCCACAATTTCTGCAAAACGACGTTGCTTTGCTTGCTTTGGGAATATTCTTACTAGTCTGAGTATATACTTCTAAAGCTCAATATGTGAGTGCA